TCATGTCAACTCTTTTCTTGGGAGCTGGCGGTGGCGAGTCTGTTTCCTTCTTAGGTGATCTTTCACGTTTTGGAGAGGTGTCTCTGAGACCTCTTTTCTGGTAAGGAGGTGGTTTTTTGAGTTCCACGTCCTTTAGTTCCCCAGCTACGAATTTAGCTGCCAACTGTCGTTGGAGGTCCCAACATTCCTCGGTTGAATGCCCTTTTCGATCGTGGTAAGAGCAGTGTTTGTTCTCATCGTAGTCTTTTGACCAGGGGGTTTTGCTTGTCGCGGCAACAGGTTTTTCCTGTTGAACTTCCTCGACAGCATAAGAATGTTCTCCCTGGGTCTGGTTATTCCGGGAGCTCCCTTTTCTAGAGGATCCTTTTGCTTTCGAGGTTTCACCTTTCGGGTGATTCTGGGATTTCTTATGGGTTTTATCCAGTGCAGCTGTTTCCTCTTCCAAGGTAATGTATCTCGATGCTTTGTGAAGGACATCATCGATAGTTGGGGGAGGGTTAAGCGTTAGCTCGGAACAGAATTCTGATTTGTACCAGAGACCTCTTCTAAGGGCTTCGATGGCAACCTGATCGTTGGGATTCGAGAGCTTAGTCCTGACTGCTCTGAATTTCTCGATATAGATTCGTAACGAATCTCCCATTCCTTGCCTGATTTTCCAGAGGTCGGCCTCGGAAGCTTGCTTGAGGATATGGGTTGAGTATTGCTTCATGAAGGCGTTGGTGAGCTGGTCGAAGTTATCTATTGAGTTCGGCTCGAGGCTTGAAAACCATTCGAGAGCTGTTCCGACCAGGTTCTCAGGAAAGGTTCTGCAATAACCTGCTTCGCAATCTTCTCTTGTGAAGTGAGCTTTCACTATAGCTAATCGGAAGGCTCTCAAATGAGCCTTAGGGTCTGAGGTCCCATCATATTCGGGGATCCTAATATTTCGGGTATCTCTTATATAAGAGCTAGCGATTTTGTTTGTGAATGGGGTTCCACGGGTTTCCTCAATCAAGCTCTCGATTTCGGGAGCTGAGCTTGTTGCTTTGTGGACTTGAGCATTCAACTTTTGGAGAGCTGCGTGAGTTTGCTCCATGTATCGGCGGATAGCCTCAGGTCCCTCTAGGGGAAGGACGGTTGGGTCGTCATGATGAATCTGATGGGGAGATTCTTGACGGATTCGAGCGTGGTCGTTCTCCCAAGCATTAGGTGGACTAAATCGCTCGCTAGCTCTAGTGCCATTTTGAGGGACACGACCAGGGGGGTGAGCTGTAGGATCAGCTTCTGTCCTCTGGTGGCCGTCTCGATTTGGGATCGCGCTCCCATTTTCGTAAGCTGAGGTTGGTGCTCTTCCCCTCGGAGGGAAAGATATTCCTTCTCCGGACCTAAAAACAGGTGGCGGAGGCGGTAATCGTGTGCTCTGTTCAGGAACCCTATTGGGTGCAGAGCTTGTGGTTGCTACGTTACTTCCCATAGCGCTATTTACAGGTGGACTGAACGCTGGGGTTGTCCCAGTATGAGGTGTCCGGAGAATAGGTTCTTGCCCATCTTGAGCAGTGCTGTTGGGGAAAAATCCAGGCGTCCGCGAGGGAAAGTGGATTCGGTTAGTCGGTCTCGGAAGGTGACTCCCGATCCTTGACGTTGCGACAGATGAGTCGTCTCGGTTAGAGATCTAGTCACTTCTTCGAACCGTTGCTGTCGAGCAGTTAGCTGTTGCAACGTGCGCTCATTATCCTGAGCTCTTTCTACCAATTGCACCATCATTCGACGCATCTCGGATAGCTGAGCTTCCGAGTGATTCAGAGCGGATTGACACTGAGGGTTTTCGGGGTGTGTAACCCCCGAGTTGTTCCTACTGGAAGGTCTTGGGTTAGTTATTCCAGTTTGGTTCGATTGAGCATTAGCCGGAGGCTGTTGCTCGAATCGGTGATCGGTGGATCGAGGTTCCGGATTCTGGGGATCCGGGCCTCTCCTGTTCGATGAACCGTCGATTTGGATCACAGGATCAGGGATGGATGGGCTCGTTACCTGGTTGGATGGATCCATTCTCAAGTTACGGAGTGAAGGATTCAATTATCTCTTCCCCACAGACGGCGCCAAAATGTGAGGGGTAAAACTCACTCTCTAGTTTAGGTTAGGTTTAGATTGGGGAAAAGACAATCGTGTGCTGAATCCTGTTAGAACTTAAAGAATGAATAAGATTGTATTTGATGAATAAGGGTTACAAAGATGATTGAAATGAATACAAAGAAATCACTGAATGATTTGTGAGTGATAATGTATGTGAAAATTCGTAAAAGGTGTGAATCCCCTGTTCTCTTCATTTCTCTTCCTTTAAATAGCCTCAGGTCACGTTTAACCTCTCCTGATTAGTCTCCGAGATTCCCTCTGTAAACTGAGGGATTTGCAACAGCTCCCTTTTGACCGAATCATATGCCTCTTGCTTCGTATCCTGAGCTGTTTTATTAGGTTCCTGCAAGAGAAGCCGGACCTTTTCTTCGTGACCTCTTTCTCGTGACCTCTTTTATCAAAATCCTTGGAAGTAGCCTCCGTCCTTAGGTGAGCTCCGTTCTCCTTTTGAAATGATAACCCACGCGTGGCCCATTATTAGGCTTAGTTTAACTGATCCGTTAATTTCAGCTAACGGGCCATATTCGGGCCCAACAATGCTAAAAGAGGAACAGAACCTCGTCTACCCTTTAAGTTCACTAATGTCATAGTCGACTTGCCGGGCTTCCTACCTCTTCTAGAGTCTTATTGGAAATCCAGGACATCGTTATTCAATGCTACTATTGTTTTGTATAAATTTACAAAAAAAGTTGAAAACTTTCAAGCAATCAGTGCATAGCCTGAGTAAAGAACATATATATGGGTGATATCACTAGGAAACAAAGGAATCTTGGACGAAGATATGTGATTTTCAGGCCACAACATTGTCTAACCCATCACCAAAAAAGGAAATGGAGTGAGGATTGTTTATGGTTATTGGTTTTCTTCTCAGCGCTGGAAGAAAGATTCTAAGCAAAAAGCTAAGATCAATTGGTTAAAAGTTTGGATGGGAATAACAAGCAATTTCAAAAAGCACCGAAGTAGATAAGTTAAAAACGCCGTAAGAGAAATTCAGAGAGATGATGGTTCTCCTAGTAACAGACATGTGAAAATCAAGGAGGGGCTGTAAAAATATTTCAGTAACTTTCTATCTTATAAGCAGGACGATGTTACTAGTATATCATAGGAGGAGTTGCAGAATATATTGGGTATTGAATGCGGTGTAACAGACTAGAAAATGCTTGATGGAACAGTTTCCAAAGAAAAGATAAAGAAGTTCATATTTGGTACGGTAAATAACAAGTCCCCTGGTCTTGACGGTTATACGTGTGAGTTTTATAAAGCATGATAGAAAATTGTTAGGAACGATTTGTTGGCGGCAGTGCAGTCATTTTTTTATGAAGGCTTCCTTCACAAAGGAGTTAACTCAACTATATATCACTGCCCTCATACAGAAGAACTAAGAAGGATCAAGCAATTACGACTATGTTATAGACCCATATCATATTGTAATGTGTTACACAAGGTGATCTTTAAAGTACTGGTTAATCAGCCGAAGAGGATCCTACCGAGCTTCATTTCCACAAATTAGTCAGCATTCATGAAAGATCAGTGACTTATGAAAAACGTTTTATTGGCTTCAGAGCTAGTCAAAAAATTACCATAAGTCTACCATTTCATCAAAGCCTTTGATACTATCCAATGACCTTTTCTACTCACCATTCTCTCGGTCTCAGCTGTAAAACTTCCTACAGAATTCATTGTTTAAATAAAAAAATTGTATCAAGCTGGCGTTCTTCTCTGTTTAGATAAAGGGACAATTGGATGGTATTTTAATAGTGAAATAGGTCTTAGACAAAGGTGTTCCCTCTCTCCTAATGAAGCTTCTGGACAACACTACAGCTGAAAAAAGGATTCATCCTTATTGTCAGGCAGTGCCGGTGGTCCTGAGGACATGCATAAAAAACATTTGCATGGGACTTGTTTTCTAGGGTACACAACATTGTTTTTTTTTTAATAAAACAAATAGGTTTTTCTCTATTTGACCAAAGATATATTTGATAAAACATAGCAAATCAATATACTTTTATAGAAATTAGTTAATTAAGCTAATATAGTATATGTAGATTAAAAAATGCTTCGTTAGTTATTCTAGAAAAGAACTTCTACATCAATCAAATTTTGTAAAACTATTTCGTATAATTTTACAACACTGAAATTATTTTTACAACACTGAACAACAGCTAATGCATAAACGACTCTACATGTCATTGGTTTAGATCAAGGCTTGGGCTAAAGCCGGTTAGGCGCAAGCGGTTATATAACTTTTCGGGTGCCAAAATGTGAAGAACTTTTTAGTATAATGGTTTGTACACATTCAGTCAAAAAAAAAATGGTTTGTACACATGCCCTTTAAACATGGGAACTCTGGTTCCACGACCACTATCTCCCTGTTTTTTTTTTTGTTTTCGATATTGATAATAATAATTAAAAAATTAGGTTTTGATCTGTGCCTCTATGCAAGTAGTTTTTTTTTATTTTATTAATTGTCTATATTTGGTTTATAAAATAGTTTTTATAACTTTTTTTATATTGATCTATATTTTTAATATGCTTGGTAATATCTATTTTTCAAATTAACTTCAGACATATATTTGTTTAATATGACATTTATACACACTATATGTTTTATGTTTATATGCAATAAAATTAATTATTTATTGAGCCATCGATTATATTAGGGAAAATTTCAATTTTACCACATTCATTGTACCACTTTTCATTTTTGTCTTTGATAGAAAGACATTTTCATAAATACCTAAGTCATTAGTGGCCAAATAACAAAACTAACTTTTTTAATTTATTTCTGATTTCCTCCATCTTTCTCGTTGCCGTCGCTGTATTCATGAGATTCACCGTATCTGTCTTTAACAATTTATGTATCTTCGTATCAATCGATTTTCCTAAGCTTAATGTCTCGATCGAGTTTCGTTGTCATTGTCTTCATCAAGCTTTGGTGTCGTTTTTCATCGAGATCTGTCGTCGTCTCCGACGAGATCCATCTTCACTCTCTCATCGTGGAGCTTGGTTTCGATGCAAGGTTACTCCTTCTTTTCAGTTTTCTTTCGTATATGTAATTTAGATATTAAAATACTCATTATATTATTTTCTTTATCAGATTACAAAGATATTCAACAGAGGGAAAGCATTATTCTACGATTTGGAGTATCTTAATTTCACAGAAGAATGTTTGTTTCAGTTTCTCAAATGTTTAGATAGTTAAAACATTTTTTAAAATTTATCTTTTTTAAAATATGCCTCAGGGATACACACAACAAAAGTATTTCAAAAACGCCACGGCGAGAACGAGACTCACCTCATGGTTCGACCCTTATGTCCACGTCGGCGTCATGAAGTCAAGTCCTTTGTGGTGGAGGAGAACAAGAAGATCTTGATGTTGTTGTTGTTCATGGTCTTTGGAAAGTAGGAGATTTGGTGGATTGGTGGAAAGACGATTGCTATTTGTCTGGTACGGTTCGAGAAGTGAATGAAGAAGTCTCTGTAACTTCGTTGCAATGTGTTAAAAAAGGCTGTTTAAGATTTTTGATTTTTTTGCAACTTTTTTTGTTTAGATTGAGTTGTTGCCTAAACCTTATGGAGAAGGAGGTAGCTACGATGCTGTGTTTAAAGATTTGTGTCCTTCGTTGGAATGGTCACTTGAAGATGGATGGATTGTGCCTTTCTCTAAGGTTTTACTAAGCATCCTTTATGGAGTGTTGACTATGTTGTTCCTTATGTTTGTTTTAAAAACATTATTCTTTTTTCTATATAGGATGGGGAAAAGAGGCAGTGTGCTAAGCTAATGAAACTTCCGAGTGAAATGAAAGGAGAGGATGAGACTAGAGAAGAAAAAAAGGTGAGAGTTAAGTTAGTAGGAGATGAAGGTCTTGCGTTGAATATAATGGAATCAGACTCTGCTGAAGCTGCTGTGATGGACTTGGAAGAGGTTGTTGTTCGAATAGAGTGGATTAAAGGAATGTTATCGCTTAATGTTCCTAATTCCGAAACTTCAACATGGATATGTGAAAATGGTTCTATCTTCTGATTGAACATTGGTTCAGATTAAAAGAAAATCATTGTCAACTATCTATGGTGGACTAGAATCCACACAAAAACTAACTTTACTATATATAATGTAATCATCAGTTGTGATGTAACAATAATAGAGACATGTATCTCTTTTATTCACTATCTTAAGCGTATGCATGAGGAGGAATGCTCGAGCAAAGAATGTAGGAACAAGTTATGGAGATAGAGAGACTAGGCTATTGCAGACTGTTTATCATCTTCAAGGTGTAACGCTCTAAGTAGTTTTGGCCATGACTGTGGGATTCCACCTGGTAATTCAAACTCATGAAACCAATTAGAAAGTCTTTAAATCATTTATAAGAGTTTATAAATATATTTTACAAATCGGTTTATAAATTTTGTTTATAAAAGTTCATAATTGGTATAACAAATATATCATTTAAAAGAGTTTATAAGTAATTATTTATCATTATAAGAGATTTATATATCATTGATAAGAGTCTATATATCATTTATAAAGGCTTATAAATCATCTATAAAGTTTTATAAATCAGTTACAAGGGTTTATAAATTATTCATTAGATTTAATAAAGCATGTATAAGAGTTAATAAATCAAAGGATTTTTCTAATTCATCATCAACTTATAAATCTTTATAAATCATTTTATGTCTTTATACACACTTATAAATCATTTATAAACTCATATAATTCCAATTCATTTTATAAAATCTTTATAAATAAATTTATAAGCTCTTATAAATAAGTTTATACTTCTTATAAATAATTCTTTAAACTTTTATAAATCAGTCATCATAATATATGAGCCAAGATCTTAACCACCAATAGCAAGATACCATGCTCGAATAAGATAATATGTCGTGCTTAACTTCTAGATTGTCCATCTCTATCCAGTCTCGTGTGTATAAATTGATTCATAAGGATTTATAAACTAATTTATAATACTTTATAAAACGAGTCTATAAGTTAACTATAAATATTTATAAACTAATTTATAAAGCGTTATAAAAAAATAGTCTCAAACTAACTTATTTGCTTGATCAAACATGTTACAAAATAATAGATTACAGTTCATACATAATCAGGCACAGACTTCAACTACGTCTAGTTTAGTAGAGTAGTTAGTATGAGACAACTCCACTAAGTTGATTTATTAATGCTTATAAACTGGTTTAAAACTTTATAAATTTATGTATCATCATTAATGAATTTTAAACAGATTTATAAAGTCTTATAAAACTGATTTAATTTATAAAATCATCTAAAACCTTTGCAAACTTTATAATACATTATAATTATATTTTTAGAAAATTAAAAGTCTTGAAGAGTTTACAAATACCCTAGGTGAAGTTTTATAAAAATTTATAAATCTTTTATAGGGGATTATAACATTATATATATGAAATTATAAATATAAACTTAGAGAAATTTGTCAATGCTTTTTTAAATCGACTTAATAAATTTGTTTATAAGGACTAAAAACTAATTTATAAGACCTTATAAAATCCAGAAAACTTATAAAATCTTATAGAACATTAACAAATTTTATGAAATAGATTTAGAAACTCTTATAGGAGTATATATAAAATCATTTAATAATCCCTTATAAAATATTATATTGTTATAATCCCCTATAAAATCATTTTATAACGATTTATAAACTATTCATAAGGTTTAAAAGTCCTTTATAAGTGTTTATAAATAATTTATAAGGGTTTATAACACATTAATAAGGTATCTACATTTATAAGAATTAATATATTATATATAAAAGCTTATATATCATTTATAAGGGTTCATAAACTAATTTATGAAAGCTGATAAACTAATGTATAAGAGATTATATTTTGATTTACAAGAGTGTATAAATTGATTCATAAGGATTGATAAACTGATTTATAATACTTTATAAAAAAGGAGTTAAAAGGATCTTAATCTCGTGTCTGAGAATGATGCAACATGTTTTAAGGACTTTTACCAAGCTACAATGCTCACAACAGACTCAGTTACAAGACCAGACCCATAAGCGAAAAGCGGATCATAATGCAAATCTCCATAGCTCATAGGCAACTGCTCTGTGTTTCTGAACCATGTAATAGGAAGTTTCCCACTGAAGCCATGGTCCCCAAAGAGAGCATCAGTGATCCCTTGGCCTTCTGTTCCCGGTAGCCACGCTGCAACCAAGGCCTCAATCGAGGAAACGTAAGGTTCCATCACAAGTGGTCTCCCTGAAACAACTACAACAACACATTTGATAGCCTGACAAGTGGAGGTAACGATGGCTGGACCAGGATCCATCATAGTTAGCTTGTCGCTATCTCCAGATGTGTCTGCATATGGAGGTTCACCAACAGCAATGATTGCGTAAGAAAAGTTGTTCGACTTGATGAATCCAGCATTTGGATTTTCGTTGAAGATTGACTTATGTGCTTTGATCAACAGCTGATTTTATAGCGTCAAGAATTGTAGTTCCTGAAAACAATCATCAACTAAGTTTATACAATCATTGCTCAAGATGATAAATAGCTGCATACAAGTTTACCTCTAGTGTTCTTGTTGCCGCTCAATCCTTGCCAAGTTATGGTCCAACCACCACATTGGTAACCCAAATTATCAGCATGAGTACCAGCTACTAGAATCTTTGAAGCCTTCCTTGGAAGTGGGAGCATAGGATTGGTATTGTTCCCGTTTTTCAGCAGTACAAGGGATTTCCTAACAGCTTCCCTTGCCAAGTCTCTATGTGCCTAATAGAAATTGAGAACATTCAATACTTGCAACACAGTCTAGCTCAGGGAAAAATACTCAAAGCAGCAACTGACCTGGCTTCCTAGTTCATTGGAGAAGCTGTAATCAGCCAAAGGGTTCTCAAAGAGTCCCATGGTGAACTTGACAAGTAGGATTCTGCTGACAGCATCATCAATGCGTGTGATAGGTATTACTTTGCTCTTCACCAAGGACATAACATCATTGATGAATTCATTGAAGTTAAAAGGAACCATGACCTGCATATTGTTTCAGATATGAGTAAAACTTTCTTATAATCAATGCAAAGAGTGTCTGTGAAGTTTGAAACACAAGACCATGTCAATGCCAGCCTGAATTGCAGCTTGGACATAAGCTGTGTAGTTTGAATGTGGTGGTGATGATATCTTATCAACGCCTTGCCAATCCGAAATAACAGAACCCTGCACATATCATTAGACAAGATAAATTGGAATTAACACAACCTCTTCAAGAAAGTACATATTCTCACTTCAGCTTGACTTGCAAAGCTCTCTGCGATTTTAAGATCATGGTGATCTCAGATTTCCAGTTCAGCGCCTCAACCACTCTCTGCAAAACCTGCAACTAAAATATATGTGAGCCTCCTATGAGACCTGTCAACTGACCAACTAGGAAATCTGACTTCTTGACACATGTTGCTGAAGCATGGATCCTGCTGCACCACCAGAAGCTCCTCCTCCACTTGAGCTGCCGCTCGGCTTGCTCCTACGCATTTATAAAAGTTTATAAAACAATTTGTAAAGTTTATATGCTATTTATAAATGTTTATTATTATCTATAATCATTGTTCTCAACAAAAAGTTGTTACTAACATAATCCGAGGACATCAAGGCTTCTCCATAGCTCACTCTTCTATAAAAGAAACGATTGGACCAAACTCACTTACACGTGCAACTAATCTCTTCAACTATGCAACTCCTAAGAGAGATATACAATTGTTTTAGTATCAGAGATGTCTGAAGAAGATGAGAGAGAAGAATGTATTAAGAAGCCAACTCTGCAACTTTTATAAAGCGTTATAAACACTACAAGAAAACTAAGGCATTACTAGGAAAATTTACTACGAAAATATTTCCTCGTAAAAATACTACGAGTTTACTTCGAGTTTACGAGGAAACCTCTTTTCCTCGTAAAGTTCTCGTAAACTTACGAGAAAAGAGTTTCCTCGTAAACTCGAAGTAAATTTACGAGGCCCTTACGAGGAAAATTTTATTTTCCTCGTAAACGCATAGTAAAACTTTTCCTCGTAAAGTTCTAGTAAATGTTTACTACGAAATTAGGAGGAAAGGATTTGTTACTACGAAATTAAGAGGAAATGGATAGAAAATATCGAATATTAATCAAAAACGTGTTTTGTACCTACTTTTCCTAGCAATTTCCTAGTAAATGCTCAGATTCGAAAATTTCTATAAATACCACCATATGTGATTCATTTGAAACACACCAAAAAAAAAAAATCAGCTATAAGTTTGATCAAACAAAAAAAAATGTCCGGTCCGGGAAGTATTTTCGAGTTGCGGAAGTGGATGTATTCACACAGAGATAATAACGGGAGGGTGACGAAAGAATTTCTCGAAGGGTTGGAGACGTTTATGCATCAAGCAGATTCTACACCACTCACACAGGAAAGTGGTAAGATGTTATGTCCTTGTCGGAAATGTTGCAATACCAAATTAGGCCCTCGTAAAAATGTTTAGAAGCATTTAGTAAATAGAGGTTTCATGCCATATTATTATATTTGGTATCAACATGGAGAAGATGCTAGTTGTAGGAATGAAGGTAGCAGTAGTAATCAGGTTGAACTGGTTGATCATTTGCGTAATGAAGGTAGCAGTAGTTATAGCTATCATCACCAAGAGGAACAAATGGTAGATTGTGATAGGGTTCATGATATGGTAGGTGATGCATTTGTAACTCATGATGATGATGAAGTTGAAGAACCTAACTTAGATGCAAAAAAGTTTTACGAAATGTTAAAAGCTGCGAATGAGCCAATTTACAGTGGTTGTAGAGAAGGTCTGTCTAAATTGTCGTTGGCTGCTAGAATGATGAGTATTAAAACCGATCACAATCTACCTGAAAAATGTATGGATGCATGGGCAAACTTGTTTAAAGAGTATTTGCCAGAAGACAATGTGTCTGCTGAATCTTATTATCAGATTCAGAAATTGGTATATAGTCTAGGGTTGCCCTCGGAGATGATAGACGTTTGCATCGACAACTGCATGATTTACTGGGGAGATGATGAGAAGTTAGAAGAATGTCGATTTTGTAAGAAGCCACGATTCAAACCGCAAGGTTGAGAGCGTAATAGGGTACCGTACCAAAGGATGTGGTACCTACCAATCACAGACAGATTGAAAAGATTGTACCAATCTGAGGAGACTGCTGGAGGGATGAGATGGCACGCCGAACATACTCAGACGGATGGAGAGATGACTCATCCATCAGATGCAAGAGCCTGGAAACATTTTAACAATGTACATCCACATTTCGCTAGCAATNATAGCCGGAATGTGTATCTTGGATTATGCACTGATGGATTTAGTCCATTTGGAATGTCTGGGAGACAATATTCATTGTGGCCGGTCTTTCTTACACCGTATAACTTGCCACCGGAGATGTGCATGCGACGAGAGTTTCTATTCATGAGCATATTAATACCTGGTCCAAAACATCCAAAAAGATCTCTCGATGTTTTTCTACAACCACTGATAAAAAAGTTGCAAGATTTGTGGTCAACAGGGGTGAGGACATATGATTGTTCAACGAAAACAAACTTTACGATGCGAGCGATGCTTTTGTGGACCATAACTGACTTTCCTGCATATGGTATGTTGTCTGAATGGAGTACACATGGGGGATTAGCTTGTCCATATTGTAATGGAATGACAGATGCGTTTCAGTTGAAGCATGGTAGGAAGACTAGTTGGTTCGATTGTCACCGTCGATTTCTTCCCATTCACCACCCATACCGAAGAAACAAGAAATTGTTCAGTCACAAAAGGGTTGTTAGAGACACTGCTCCTCCATATTTAACTGGAGAACAAATCGAAGCGCAAATCGATTACTACTGTGCTCTGGAAACAGCTCCTCGTGGTGGGAATTGGCATGTTCCCAGTAATATGCCTGATTCTTATGGTGTTCAGCACAATTGGCACAAAAAGAGTATATTTTGGGAATTGCCATATTGGAAAG